CCCAACAGTTGGGTGCCCCCGACCTCATCAGCGTCTGCTTGATGCGTGGAGTTGGAGAACCAATCAGAGAGACATAAGCTTAACGTGTCAGATGAATTGGGCGTCACAATTTGAATCCCTCTTGTGAGAAACCCCAAAGCACGCCTTCGGTAGGAGACAAATGATAAGGAGAATATCATCAGCTATTCATCATCCAACACGTGGCCTCCGTGCGGCATCCAAGTGGAAAAGGGAAGACGAGGGCCACTCTCCACCTATCTACCCACGTGGACAAGGGTCCAAGGTAGATGATTGTAAGTTGTCCTCCCGTTGCCACCTGCATTAATAAAAATCTAAGGTGAGGTTGTTAGATATACTCAGAGGTGGCCTCTTTACATAATATTTTATCCATTTATGATTAGGTATAGCTCATCTTAAATATAATAAAACGAGGATCGTTTTTTGATCACTTACGTCTAAACTCACCTACCTTAAAAGATCAACGACATCTTTCCATAACAATCAAGATTAATAATTTTTTACTTGTAACTTTTATTTCGTTTTATTATTAACTTGACTATCAAATGAATCAAGTAGAAGCTCATATGATGTTCGTGTAGATCGAGGGAATCTCATCCCAGAATCGCTCCGGAAGACTTTGTGAATCAGTATCTAAGAAATTATCACAACAGAATATGTTGCAGCAGCGAGGTTTATTGGACTATAGTAAACATCCTGTTGGCAGCCAAGTTACAGTGCTGAGTGCAAATAACCATCTGATTCTCAATCCATAAAGTAGGGTTCAGGTGGAACTCTGATTCCTTTGCTTGGGTTACCATCTCCCTCACGTAGTCAAAGCTTGACATAGAAGGGGCTGTTGGTAATGGAAACATGATTTAGAATCCTCCACATATATCTGGAATGAGGCCGATCAAACACTTTGCTTAGTAATGCCCGGTTAAGTCCCATTTAAGTGGAAGAATAATTGAATGGACTCATATGGACTTCAATATTTCAGTGTCAATTATTCAATTGAATTAAATTGAATTGATGAAAGATTTGAGTAGTACAGCGCTCCTCCCAATTATGCTGCTTTTAAGCTTCCCTAAATTTTCTAATAATTTATGAATGTAAATTTTGAAAATACTTTTTTTTATTTAATTTAAATGATCTAAAAGATTTATATATCGGTCGGATACTATTTTAGATAATTGTAATGACGCCAAAATTTAGTATGATAGGCACATATCTTTCCTAGTACCAATAAGAATTAAGATGATGCATGCTTTACGATTGACTTATATAAAGATTGAAGTTGGATGAGTTTATCTTTTTTACGCTCCCACCGAGAATAAAATAAATGTAATAAAAAATAACTAAATTTGATTACCATAATGGATTAAAAAGAGAGGATATATTAGGTAGGGAATGTTGTTGCCTTCCTTAATCCCATTTTAAACTATTGTCCATGTGGCACCAAGTTTTACCTCTCACGGATGCTGACTGTATTGCCACGTAATAAATAGCTGGAGCAAATTAGCCAAAGGAATTGTTGCCCCTTTCATTTGAGCAGCAGAAGGTTGTCGGCAGCAGGATGAGCTAATCTGTCTGGTATCGCATCGCACGATGAAGCTCATTTTCTTAGACCCAAGCTCATGACAACAAGGAACAAGTCTTCAATCAAGCATTCATGTGAAACAACCATTTGCAATTCAAACAGCAAAGGAGTGAGAGAAACAAGACCAAATGAACCATGAGTTCTTCACATCAGATTTTGTTTTCGCTGATTCAACAGGAGGAAAAATAACTTGTGAACGTAAGGGCTTACTGACTGACAAACCTGATAATATATATGCACTATCACAATGTAGATTTCCTTGCAACTTGTGAACTATTTGAGTGCAGCAATATAGGTACACTAGATGTAACTTTATGACTGTACAACCACACTTGTTTCTTGATCTAAGACATGTTTAGGAGTAAAAAGTCAACGGCTCATGGGACAAGGAGAGAACAATTCAATATAAGCGCTATGATAGTATATACTCGAATGCTGCTAATACTACCACAACGATATCAGTATCCGTGCTGTGGTTCAGATCGACGAGGGCGATTCTCTAACCCATTATCTTCCCTTGAAGCAAATTAAGGGTCTTAGTAAGATCGTTTACCATCACTTTTTGTCACGCTTTGAGAATCTGATCTTCACCATATTGCTCAGATTCATAGCATGTCTTCAAAGTTGCCCCTTGTCACCTGCATTACTTCATTTTGGAATTTTGTAAGAAGAGAGCAGAAGCAAAGGAATCTTTTTGTCCGTAAGAAGATAGAAGTTATGTACCTTTTTCTCTTGCTTTTTGTTGAACTAGATGACGATGGATTGCTGTGCCAGTTCCTTTTCCTTTGGTTGATGAACCAATTATTAATCTGCTTTAGTTGCAGCCCTGTTTCTTGCACTAACCGTGCCTTATCGTCCTCCTACGAACACAAAAAGGATGAGATTACAGAATATATTTTGCCCAGTGAGTCATGCCGCTTGAGAGAACACAAGCAAAATGGAGGAAGCAGGTGCCAGGATATTGAAAATACACAGCAGAACAAATCATGCTGGCTCAAGGAAATCGAGATGAAAATGTCATCCACCATGAGAGAGGAGTGAACAACTCCTCTCCTGGAAGTACCGAGCTTTTCTTATCAGCCACATAATGGGCCACCCTGTCTCACCAACTTTGCTCAAAACCTACAGCTGGTTCTGCCAGCTACAAGTCTTTCTCCAGACTTGGCAGAAGCAAATAATTATTTTATCTTAAATTCCAGTTAAGTATTCTAGCCCATACAAAAGAACAGGAGCTTATGAAGAAGAATTCGGACGCAATCTATGAAAACATCTCCAAACAACTTACCGTTGGGTATGGCCATTTGGAATGGGACTGCCACCAAGCCTTCAAAGTAGAAGTGGTATCTCCTGGGAGTTTCCCAGCTCTTCGCTTCCGCAGAATCTCTTCTCTGATGTCTACAATTTTCTCTTTGTAACCCTAAAAATCAGAGAGTTCATTTGGCAACCTGCACGTAAGCTCATGGTAAAAATTGTACCCATCTACCTGTTTTAGTTCATGCTTCAGCTCTTGTCTGACTCGTTCCATCAAGGTCTTCTCACTCTCCGTCAGAAAAAGTGGGCCGAACCCCATGCCGTCTGATCCATCCAGGCATCCGTCAAACAAGTTTGTTTCACTGTCTGCTTGATCATCATCATCATCTGACATTGTGGCACCCGTTCCTTCACCAGGAGAAACACCTGTGGTAATGGTAAAGTACTCTTCAGCAACCTCACCCACCAAAAGCATTGTAGTAAAATTGCATTTATACACAGCCATCCAAAACTTGTAAATGGCAACACAGTCGGCTGCATACTTGTACTGAGTTCCCAGTTGCAGAGTTAGAGTCCTCCTAGTAAAGATCTTTCTTTCACATAAAGTGACTACCATTTGCTGCTTCAACTAAAAAACTTCCTTTGTTGTATTCTTTTTTCTATTTAGAAACAGAGTTTCGGATAGGGATGGGAGTCAAATGGGAAGTTTAAGAGTACGGTAGATGAAGCAGGAAATTGCAGATAGATAAACCGAAAGCAGCAACACAATCAATATTCCTTAATCTTTGCTTATGCTATCTCTACTATAGGGGTTAATCGTAGTTAGACCTCCTTGGCATCTCGATTTCTATATTTCAAAAATTTAATTAGCATCTTTATAGTTATGAAAGTGAAACATTTAATCTCATTTATCCTAATACCATCGGCTTTACCGACGAAAGATATAACACATGATAGCATATGCAGAATTATTGATTTTATTAATTATAAAATGATCATTTCAGGTATTAATTAAAAAGTGAAAGAAAGCAACCATTGACTTAGGCAGTCGCATAATTGGTTTCTTTCCCAATTCGATCTCTTAAGGTTTACAGCAAAGCTCCTCTACAACGTGGCAATGCTAAGTCAGTCTTAAACCCTAAGAGATCGATTTGGGGGAAGAAATCCCAACAGATCGATTTGGGGAAGAAATCAATCATACGACTACCTAAACCAATGGCCCCTTTCTTTCACCTTTTAATTAACACATATAATGATCATTTTGTCATTGTCAAAATCGATAATTCCATACATGCTGTCATATGTTATATCTTCCGTCAACAAAGCTAATGGCGTTAGGGTTGATGGGGTTAAATCATGGTCTGCAATACCGAACTGTACCGCCCAGTATGGGCGGTACGTACCGGTCCGACAGGTTGTCGGTACGCGGACTGCCTGTTACCGGTCCGAGTGCACTGTAGCAGAGCTACAGTACTCGGCACACCTGTGTGTACCGCTCGATATACCGTACCATACCGATACCGAGCCCAGGTCAAAACACCGGTACGGTACGGTATTGTAAACCTTGGGTTAAATATTTCACTTTCATAATATAGGGATACTAATGTAATTTTTTTAACTCTAGAGATCAGAATGCTAAAGATATCTAACTACATGGATAATTTATAATTAGCCCCTACTTTCGGTCAAGGCCTAATTCAAAAATATAATATAACAACTGTATAAAAAAAAAACCCTTTGAGCTTTAGCATGATTTATAGGATATGTTGCTTGATTTGTAACAACAAAAACAAAGATATAGAAGTGAGAAAATTAAATAACATAAAAGAGGAAGAGAAAATTTTAAAAAACTTAATCTTATAATCACTATGACTCCACTTGTTTGAGCCCATGTCCTACATGATCTTGTCCAGAATACCTTAAGATCTAAACCATATACATTTTTTATCAAATAGCTTATGGCAACTGACTGCATAAATTAAGATATATGGCTTATCTTTGGAAGGTATCCTGTTAGAAAGTACAAATTGAAATGAAAAAAATTCCTGTAAGAGAACTTAGAGGTAGGGGAACAAATTGGAGGAGAGTGTTCTTGTTAGTAGAGGGTTTAATTCTTCAATAACAGGTTCCCATGAGAGGTGGAAGAACACTCCCCTAGTGCATATATATATATATATATATATATATATATATATATATATATATATATATATATATATCCTTTAACTTGAGAACAAGGAAGGAGACTGAATAGGATAGTAGGGAAGGAACAAGAAGCTAGCAAGTGGGAATCGAAAGAATTAACTTCTCTAGACTCAATTTCACTAGCAGTCAGCTAATTATAGTAGATCAACTTCTGATCTGTGGTAATATACCAGATCATCATGACAGAGAGATCTGTCTCAACTGACTCCAACTGATTTTATCCGGTTCTGACCTTGCAAATTCTATCCATGTTCCATAAGGGTTAAGGGAAACATCATCTATGGGAACAATGAACGAAGCAATGAGTTAAGTTAAAATTAATGAGTTAAAATTGAAGAAAAGAAATTAAGTGGGGTTCTACCCCCTTTTCTGTTCTGTCAGACCAATCACCGCCTGAATTGACGAAGTCCAATACCTCCTTTCGCTATATAAAATAGTATGGGATGGTTCATTCATGAACCATCAAATCCAAAACAAAATTCTATGGAATCATAACATAAAAGTAGAAAAGAGTGTTCAGATCTAGTCGTATATTGACACTAGAAAGAAAGGTAGAAGAACATTAGAGTGACCATAAAAGGAAAAAATCTTTACAATAACCATTTTCATTCTCCAGATGTAAATGCATAAAACAGAGTCATAAGCTACAGCAACGATTAGCAAGTCCTCAGTAACTTGGTCTAAAGTTTTAACAAAAAATCATTCGAGTATATGTAAGGTTGACAGATATATCACAGATTTTCTTAATAAGTTCATCACAAAACCATAGTCGAAACAGAGCAGTTAGCATTTGAGTTTGAAGCTTGTGCCTCCTACATGCTGTGAGCAAGCAATCTGCAACATCTTCTTTCTAGACTGACTTCCCTCTATCTAGTTAATCATGTTATGGAAAACCTAACTTGCATCGTGATTCTACTGTTACATCGAAGTCATGACATCTCAAAAGGTAAGATAGGTAACTAAACTACCAAGTTTATAACTTGTAGCAACTGCAAGAAACACTTTTCAAGTAAATATTGTAGCACTTTGACTTGGCCACAAATTATATTCTCCTCCATTTATTACAGTTTGACATTTCAAGTGATTATAAACTTGTAACTTGAGAAGAAGGAACAAGAAACTAACCTGTAAGGCTTTGCAGCGATTGCTCAAGCTCCCAGCAAGCCATCACCGCCTCCATTGCATGAACACGGACATGCTGCTGTAGTTGTTCTTTGAAGGAGCGAAGAAGCAAAACATATTGTGTCTAAGCAAAATGTTAAATGGATATTAGAAATTTATACTATATCCAAAAGAACAGGTAGAACAACTTTTAAAAGTTGAAGTTCGGAGAAGGTAGAAGGTGCTGAATATCTGAAAATCTGGAAATTATCAAACTTTATACCATCGACATAAAACACAATGACTGGATAAGAACAAATCTACATGCATGTCTATTTTGCCGACAGATCATGTTCTCCTAAGTCCAAACACATAGGCCTAATTGACCTTACCACTAATCTTGTGTAACAAATCAGTCATATACAGCACAAATACAGAAATGCTCAAGAAAGGAGAATTCTCTCAAATAAAATTTCATAGCTTCATGCATACTAGTAAAAAAGAAACAGCGCTAGATTTAAAAAAATATATATTAATGATCTAAACTTTTGTTCTAAAACCATGAAACTGCTAAATCATAACTATGCTGGTTGATTGAGAACGGACTTTTGACATATTGCTAATATCTTAGTTGCCACAAGTCTTATCTCAAGTTTGAGCATCCAAGTTATGTTCTTCCCCAGATTTAAGTACATCAAACAACTGCAACACCACTCATGGAAAGGATGGTTGTTTGAGTGATTACACCAAAGAAGTCCTTGGCAACAAGATTACAATGCATCTTCACAATCAGCCATCAGTAAGTTGCGAACAGCATTCGGTGCTTCCTTAACACCATTAGTCATAGGATAGCATCATCATAATATGGTGCAAACCAACTCTCCTTGCACCAGAAGCAATTCTAGTTTTCCTTCATGGCAAAAGACTAATTAAACCACATCTATAAAAAAAAGGAGTTGACAAACTTTTTAAACCTCTGAAATACCTGCAATATATATGGAGTTACAAAACCCTTTAGTTCCTTGGAACTGTAGAAGAAAAGGCATTCCTGTTTCTGCTTATGTGCCATGAGGAAATGGAGATATTAACCAAACACCAAAATAGTACAGAGAACTGCACTAAAAATTATCAATAATCCAAAACGAAACCCAACCCTTGAAGAGCTTAAGAATCTCGCTCTGTTGGATCTCTAGCGCAGTCTCACTTCCTACCTTCATAAGTCACATAATGCTCTCAGTTTGGGAACCGTTCTGCTCACAGATTTTACTTGGCCTAGAAAATCTGCAACTCAAGCAAGATGGAATCTTCCTGTGATCGTTCCATCTCATCTAGTCCTTCCCTTCCTCACTGACTCCCTCATCAAGAAACAATGGAAGAGCATCATATTTGCAGAGAAGAAGATAAATAGAACACTACTGCAATCTTTCATATGGCAAAGCAGTAAATTCACAAATGAAGAAAAAGCAAGAAGAAGAAATCAGTTATTGAGCTGAAAATGCGGGATTTGAATAAATAAAAAGCGTATATATGGAGGGAAGACAACAAATTCTATCTTGTTCCTTTACCATGAACTGATCGAGCTCCTTGTCGTCGGCAAGCATCTGGGCGCCAAGCGCCGAGTACTTGGACACTATGTGCTGCGTCTGCGCCAGCTGCGTGTCGATCCTCGGCAGCTGGTCCACCGGGGTGGCGATCCTCAGGCACGCAACGTGCGCCGACAGCAGCTGCTCGTACAACGGGTGAGCCAGTATCTCCGCCTTGTACCTCGCGCTCCGCCACGTACCCTCCCCCACCTCCGCTGCCTCCCCGTCGCCGCTCCCCTGCATCGCTCCCTCACCCTCCTCCGTCTCCCCGTCCCCCTGATCCTCCGACGCCAGGATCTCGTCGTCGCCTCCGTCCTGCGGCAGCACTGGTAGGCGCGGGAGCCACTGTCCTCCGCCGCCACGTCCCCCCGGCGACGCCGAGGAGTCGGACGCGGTCTGGAGGTGGAGGAAGCTGCCGCGCGGGCCCTGCGGCCGGAGAGCCGCGCCGCCGAGCCACGCAGGGCCGATTCCATCGGACCCTCCGGCGGAGACGAGCGGCGCATGCTGTGGTTCCACGGACGGCTCGGCCGGGCCGGAGAGGGGATCCACGGAGCCGATCACCGCATGGTCGTCCGTCAGGTGCTGCTCGGCGTACTGCGGCAGGGTCAGCTCGCGGGGGATGCGGCCGCGGAACGCCATCGCCGTTCGAGTCCCAAACCCCGTAAGGAAGCGGTGAGATCAGACGAAGAAGAAGAAGAAGAAGAAGAAGAAGAAGAAGAAGAAAGAGGAGGAAGAAGAAGAAGGCCCGACGCCCACTCAGACGACGACTTCGTTGTTGGTTGGTGGGGGTGGTTTGCCTTTGTCCTTTTTATTGCCCTCTCTCCTCTCTTAATTACTTTAATCATCTTAATTAACTTCTTCTGGGGCTTACTCGCGACAAATCACCATGAAATTACCAAAATAAGACCCCAAAATTACCAGAGCTGCCTCGGCTTTATGTAATCTTCCGGTTTTGCCCTCGCTTTACATGGCTCCCTATTCGTTATTTTAGCTAACAAGCAAGGGCAAATACAAGAACATAATAAATACATTTACTCCTACCAATATTTTTCTGCCATTTTATGGGGATTTCCAGATGACATGATTGAATTCGGTGGAACACGTAATTAAGCATAAAATAGAAAGCATGCGGAGGGATTTAATGGCAACAAAGGCCGTCGGGTGTGGGTTGCGTAAGCACCTTCGTCCGTGGCCGTCGATACGCTCTCGCCCCCAAACCGACGGCCGATGAGCATCCACGTGGCCGTATGCTACTTGCACTCGCCCATCCCCTTTCTTTGTCTCGACTGCGGCAGCGTCGACGGTAAAGAGGCCACCCCGCGATCGTTCACTGCTGCGGCCAGGTCTATCCACCAATAAGAAGCGCTCTTTACCTGTCTGATACCTCGGTAGCGACAGGCACCATTTACCATCTACCATGCGGAGCGCTCTGCCGTACCAAACCAATGGCCAATAAGGAGTCGACACGCGAGTGTTGAGCCGTGGGAGCCACCATCCATGGGCCTTCCTTGCTTGCCACGCGTGCTGATCTTTTGACGTACCTTTCGGGATACGGTTGGTGGATCCATCCAACTGTAAACATTGGGAGCAGCTTTGGGATGATGCTCCGGAAACGTAAAAGATTGCTGTACTGCGCACGCCATCCGTTCCCCATGTCACGTATGATTAACCGGAAATCACCGACCCTCTTAGATATCAACCATGCAATAATGCAAAGAACATCTGTGTGTCATTATCATGTTAATGATAAGTAAATGTCGATCATTCCAACCTATTGATTGGAACTATGAAATCAACCTTTTCTTTGTCACTCTGTCGTCATGCAAAAGAGCCGGTTGAAAGCGAGTAACGTTAACCTAAAACAAAATCTCCGAACAGTAAATGCATCCCATAAGTATGCTGGCAGCCCCCGCACCCATCCCTCCTACCATTGACATGGTGAACAGTGGTGGCAGGCAGGCGGCAGCAGCAGCAGCAGCAGCAGCAAGTGGCGGTGGAGGAGGGATCGGTGAGGGAGATAGATCGAGGCATGGTCCCCGTCCACTTCCATCTACCGCTAGGCGCATGGGCTCCGTCGTCGAGGTGGTCCTCAAGTGTCCTGCACGATACAGAGAACGCCATCCCCATCCCTCCCCAACCCAATCGTCGTCTTCTGCATCCCTGGTACTGATACGGCGGTCCCCCTTCTCCTTCTCTATACGGACTCCACGCCTGCAACCCTACTGTAATAATTCAGCTGCCGAAATGGATCACCAGCCAAAGGAGACTTTGAAGAATGAATCACCTTTAGCTCCTTCCGCAAGAGAAAACAAGAACAAGATCAAAATGGAGATTGTTACAGCAGCTGGTAGTGTCGCCATGGTCCTGTACACAGGAAGAAGCCTCTTGGCGCTTATGGATTTAGTATGTGGATATGGTATACTGTGTCCTGCCCAGACCTGTATGAAACAGTGTCTCTTCCACGGAAAATATGTTTGGGAGTGTTCAGTGCCTTTTTATCTTTACAAGATGACGATGAAACAACGTAAATATGTTCTTCTTTCTTTTTTTTTTTTGGGTTGCTGTTTTTCCTCCTACCACCTCTGATGTCTTTAATGCACATGTATTGTCATGATGTGAGGAGTTAGTTCTGATGGAACAAGGAAGTTGGGTCAGTGTCAAAATTCCCTTCAGAGTTCAGAATCAGGTACCCACAGGTCAGGTTTAGAGAGAGAGAGAGAGAGACGAGGCAGCGGGAGGACTCTTTGGCACTGGCCATAACCAGTGCCAAACTGTGGAAGTACAGAAGAAAGAAGAGATTCCTCAACAACATACTCATCACACTTCTGTAGCAGTACTTGTCATCTGCTCGCTGCAAGAGAAATATTTGAAGGGGATGGACAATACGATACAAAGCACAGTGGCTTCTGCTGGTGGTGCAGTATAATTCCTGTGGTGTTATCATCTCTGCCACATGCCTGAGGGCACCGCTCAGGGTTAGCTCCCCACGAGCTTCAGTCACTGTGCCTTTGCATGGCATGTAATAGGATTCCATCAAGCGGAATAATTAAAGAAGGATTGAAGAAGCAATAGTGTTGCGGTGATCTGAAATCATGCAGTGACTGGTCCTGGGAAAGCAGGCTCATGGAAAGGTTGTCAGGGCACAGTTTTGGGGTCCCCTGATGGACTGTTGCTGGAGCTGCTTTCTTCTGAATTATTGTACTAATGGTGCTTTTGGTGAACACCGGCGTGGGAGCTGATATGGAGTTTCCACTTTGCTTCCTAAGTGACCTAATTTAGTGCACTAGCAATCTTGAATTTACTGCAGTCTCATGAATCCCATTTTCTTAAGAGAATTCATTTGAAAATTGATCCAATAGCTTGATGCATCAAATTTACTTAATCAAGGTTGTGTTCGAAATTTCACTTTTGATATTAACATCTTATGATCAAATCTTGTCATTTGATGATGTGATAAATATTTGCTAATTCTTTGAGTTTGATAAGTAGTTATCACATTGTTAGAAAGATAATAGCTCAGTCGAATAAATTTATCACGTCGACCACAATATAAATGAAAATATCTTTCGAATATTTTGTTCTCTTGTAATATATCCTTACAAGAGAACAAAATATTCGAAAGGCACCGTTGTTCTGTATAATATATCCTTAATATCTTATAATCGAAGGGCAACGGTTATAAAAAAGATTCTTATAACATAAGTTTATGGGTTGAACTCTCTTCCCTTTTTTTTTTTTTAATTCATCTTTGGCAATTAAAGGACTATCTCATAATCCTTGATAATTCAACATTATTTATAAAGTTTTTGGCACCAAAGGCTAGTGTTTAATTTAAGTCAAATTTGTTGAATCTCATATTTTTACGATGAAGTTGTGATCTAATTAGAATTTGAATAATGTAGGACTAACTTTGATCATAGAAAGATAAATCGATTCAAATAACATAATTAGATGTTGGGCCGGAATAGATCATGTCAGAAGATTGGATATCGGGCCGAAGGATCGGTCAACGTATTGGAAGAAGGACTTCGTACCGTGAGTCTAGGCATTGGGCCAGAAAGATCGGAAATTGTGCCAAGAAGATCGAATGTTGCGGGAGGTCAACATACCGATAAATTGGGCAATAAACCGAAGGAGAGGATGATGTGTTGAAGAATCGGATGAACCACCGGATGAACCAATGACATGCCAGACAACATAGGATTTATGCTTGTAATCGTGTGTTTATATCGAATTAGTTTAGGTTTTAATTGAGTTGGTTTTGGATTTAACCATGTTAACTCAATTAGGAGCCTATTGGGCTTAAATCGGGGTTGATTTGGGCTAATTAGAAGACCCATTTAGTGACCCACAATTAGGTCAGGTGGTGGCACTGTCAAATCAGGCGGTGGAACTGCTTATGTGCTGGAACGTATGAAGTGTATATTTTTCGAAAGACTCGATGATGGTACCGCCAGTGTTAGGCGGTGGTACCACCCAGATTAGTGATGCTACCGCCCAAACACAGTCTCCCAGACTGTGTCAGGCGATGGTGTTAGGATCGAGTTGGCACTAAGAGGGGGGGTGAATTAGTGTAGCGAAAAAATTACGTCGGTTTGAAAATCTTTATACGATAAAAATCTGATTTCGATAAAAACCGTTTCGTTTTTCTTGAATGAGTAGAGAAGGATTTAGTTTGCAGTAAAGGTAAATTGTACAAATAGAAATGCAAACCGAGTTTTATAGTGGTTCGGTCGTTATGACCTACTTCCACTCCCGATTCCTCTTTCGTCGAGGCTACCGGCATCCACTAACGATTTTCTTTTAACGGGCAAAGATCAACTACCCTTTTACACCTCTCTTCTCCTTTTCACAGGTTTAGGAGACAACCTTTTACAACCCTCTTTTACAAGGTATCCCTCACACACCTCCCTTAAAGCTCTCTATAAGTTTTAGGAGGAGGGAACTCAACTTTCGAATATGGTTTACAACTTTAGAATCACAGAGTTTTGCTCAACTTTCTTTCTTTTTCATGTAGGAATAGATGAGATATTTATAGACCCAATTGACTTAAAAAATAGATCCAAAAAAGGTTTCATTGTAGGTTTTCCGGGTCTTAGCGGTACCATCGCATGTGTTGGGTGGTATCACAACCTGCAGCACTGACACTGGGTGATATCGCCACCCAGTATGGTGGTACCACCACCCAGTTTAGCAGTACCATCGCTTGGGAAACTGTGTTTGGGCGGTACCATCGCCCAAACTAGCGGTACCACCGCCTGATAGTCAAGGAGACTACCATCGCCCAAACTCGCAGTACCACTGCCTGACATAGTCTCAGAGACTGTGCCACCAACGATTTCACCAGTTTGGGTCACTTTCACTTGGCCCAACATAGCCCAAACTTGGGCCCATTTAGCCCCTAATTGAGTTGGCCTAATTACATTCTAAACCGACTCAATTAGACTCTAAACTAACTCGATCTAGATATAATCAATTACAAGCGAATCCTATGTTGTCCGGCATGTCATTGGTTCTTCCAGGGCTTCGTCCGATCCTTTGGCGCATCGTCATCTCCTTCGGTATATTGCCCAATAAGTATATTGTCTTATCACAACATTTGATCTCCTTGGCTCAATGTTCGATCTTCTTGGCTCGATGCCCGAATTCATGGACCGAAGCCTTCTACCGACACATCGACCGATCCTCCGGCCCGACGTCCAATCTTCTAACATGTTTGCTTCGGCCCAATGTCGGATTCCTCTTGTTTTAATTGATTTATCTTTTCT